GGGGGGGGGGTCAATGATGTCAAAATCGACGTCTGCATACTGCTAGCCTGCAGTCCAGCCTTGTTAGCTTTGGTCCGCTCCCCAAGATCCGCTTGTTGGCTGGTTAGCGGACCAAAGCTAACAAGGCTGGACTCCAGGCTAGCATACTGCCGGTTCCTCAGATAGTATTCTAGTGTTAGTGGCATTTGTAGTTAATTTGATTACGTATAGTTTAGAGTAGAAATCGAAATGTTGACCAGGAATTGATGATATTAATGTTGTACCTGTAGGCATAATCCGTACCACCAGTTTCGGGTAGGCCACGTTGGAGCAGCCGGCAGCGTTCTGACAATATCTCAGGCACTCATCCGGATCCACACAACCAACTTCGTCTGGAGAGAAAATACGAACAGGCATACTGGATTAAGCATACATGTTGTACGTAGATAATAGAAAGAGGGGACGACGGAGAGGCTTTTAGCCTTTCCATCATCTTAACAATTAATATTGTTCCTTTTCGAAACCGGGATCTCATGGTATATTGGCAACTGTACTACGTGCACAGTGCGTCGTACCTGGATAGAGGGCTCTACTGATCATGCCCGGCATTATCATGAGGAAGAACGGAAGAATCTTCAGGTAACCAGCCAGGATACATCCTCCCTTGGAATGTTCGATCGTCTTGGCGGCAAGGCACCGCTGGACGATCACCTGAACAAAACATATACTGATATTCTGCTGACGGTATTGTACTATATACATATAGGAGAAATGAACCATTCCTTTTTTCAACTGGAAAAATGCAAAAGAAAGTGTTATATGTAATAATTTCAGTTTTTATAAAATTGGTCGAATTGTCGACATAGGTGCCAAATTAGATCGATGTTCAATCTTCTCTGTAACCCTTTCGCCATTTACAAAAGAGACCCAAAATGTACAACACGTTTATGCGACATTGAGAGTTATCACAAATTTCTCACCTGATCTGTACACCAGTACCAGGTAGCCAGAATGGTCAGACCGAATGTGATGCCAGGCCAGGGCAGGTCGGACTTGATTGGATCCCTGAGCATGTGGAGAGAGTCATCAGGGGGTATACCGCACGTCGTGTTGTTGTTTCGCAAAGCGGGAACGGACAGGGCATAGCGTCTCTTCATCTCTTCGTAACCCCCTATGTGTGACAAACCTGCAGTAACAAAAACCCACATGGTGGCTCTTGACTATCCAGTAAAAAAAAACTGTTAGCTATTTATAAAGAAAAATTCAAGAACTTGTATATTATATACTTACTGAGGCCTGTCAGGATAAAAGCTCCAGCTATCATGATGACAGTTTGAGCTGTGTCGGTCCAGATCACAGCTGAAAGGCCGCCTGCGAAAAATAAGTCGCCATGGACAAGATTTTTAGAAAGTTTCAGTCACTTGTAACACAATACATTTATGAAACGTATGGTGTGCAAGGCGGCGTCTATCTTAGTTTCTATAGCCCCTGGGTCACACGGATTTACAAGCATGACAACAGGAGTCCGCATACTCTGCCCAGTACGTGATGAGTGCTATTAGCAGCGAAGCAGAGAATGTTTTTTATTTCATTGCGTGCCTGTCGCTTTTCCAACGTCTAATTTAGTAAAAGTTATCTGCGGGCGATAAGACGTTATAACCGTCTGACCTAAGATAGTATAGACAGCTGTGATGGCCAGTAACAGCACCACTGCCAGGTACAGGTCCCACTTCAGGGACTGTTGGATAAACACAGCACCAGCAAAGATGTCCGCCTGTAAACACACAAGATTGATTTTTCCCAATACTAAAATCTTAACACACAAAGAAATATTAAATTTTAGTACAAAGGGCACAATGTACATCAATTAGAACTCAAAATGGTTTGTGCCTTTTGAATAAAATTATGTATAATGGTTAACATTACGGAGATCTGGTCCGTTCATTCCCGGCGTGCTTTGTAAATCCAATATGGCGACTGTCCCTTGAGGCATCTAAGAGTTTGAAGCTTTGATAAAGTGTTGGATCGATCGAACAACTTTACCGATATCTTGGTGAAGACGTAGAGCAGGAGAGAGACCACGGACAGGTACACGGTGATCCTCTGTCCGCCGAACCGCTTCCTCAGGTACTCTGGCATCGTGAACACCTGTGTCATATATATCGTATGTGTGAGGGAAACAGTTTAACTTGTAGCATTGTGTTAAACTAAAAGGAAATCTTAGAAATATACAAAATTCATTTGGATGCACTCACCCCAGCAGAAATGTAGACAGGTACAAATATCCATCCTAACATCACCAGGATGAATATGGCCTGTACAATAACAGAAACAAGTATCATATCAGACCAGCAGGTGATAGTAACATAACAACGTCATGTGTAAATCATTGGATCCATACATATTTAGAATATGCTGGCCCTTTGTAATAGCCACCGTCTTGTTGGGCAACCCTGGCTGTATGTCTTTGAAAACCAAAGGCACAAAATTAATGTCTAAAATACCCTTTTCTTCAGTGAAGAAAAATATATTTTTGTTCAAGTTTATAAGCACTGGCGACGGCTTGAATCCTAAGGTTTGGGAGTTGTTGTTAGCTATGGTATGTATACGTGGGATGGGCGTTTGCTTACGTTCCACTCATACGCCACCACAGCTATGCCGGAAGCTGACGCCGTCCCAGCCAGACCCACGAAGTGTACACTACCGATGTTACTGGCGAACAGAGAGGCTCCCACCTGAAAAGAGAGACAGCATTGTAAATGGTTCTGTGGTGGTAGTCTGTCTGTATTTGTATCTATATAACCGGTATATAACCGCCCTTCGGCATAACACACCAGCTTGACACACCAGCTGCATTTCCATATACATGTACACTGTATTATGGAATATCTTGTCATTTTTTAAAGTTTTTTTTTTCAATCAGATATAAGAATACCTACCGGCCACCACGACATGTCCCTTCCTGCTAGAAAGTATCCTTTCGCGCTTCCACGGTTGGCTCGTTGTGTGGACTATAGGAAAGAAAGAAACAGACCAGTTTGTTATGCCATGCTTAGCACAGTCATCTGTTGACCTATCTATGTTTAGCATTACTTGCGTGCAATGTTCGTAAAGCGTTCAAAATCTTATCTTCATTTTCTTGAGACTGACATACATTAAGCCATATATTCTTGTGTTTTTTTCAAAAGGTTTCCTTGTAAATATCAATTGACATAATTTGCTAGCCATGGCCACTACATTAGCGTGGTATTTATCACGCTCATCTGTGTTAGCACAAGGCGCGTCAAGGTCAATGTGACCTTTGGTCCACCGAGCTCGAGTAAAGCAACACTGTAGTCTCACTTCAGTATGCCTTTTCTCTCTAGCTCTTTGACTTTACTTTATCTCTTCTGTTTCTTCATGTTGCAAAAGACCTATATCTGCTGTTTAACTTGCACTAAACGATAGAACCAGTAACATGTTTGTGAGAAATAGTTTCACAAAGAGAGCTATCATTCTAAAACAATCTGCTGCTACAGCGTCTACTAGTCTGTTATTAATTTACCCAGGTAGTGCAGTCACCTATTCGTGATGTGATCGCACGATACTCTTGTTGTCAGGGGCACAGCTTCATCTTAAAAAAGTCATGCCCGTCCATTTTTAGTTAAATAAGTATATATACGACCCAATGACAACGTAACAAGTGTTTCTGTCGACAGAAAACTTACCCATAGTCCTACTCCTAAAACGATGGCGAAGTAAACACCTATGACCACGATATCAGCCCAGTGGATTTCGGCGGTTTCGTCCAGTAGAGTTGGCGGTGTCCGTGTAGTGTTGTACCCTGGCCATGACGTGGTCATTACACCAACAGTACTGTCCATCGCTACCGCTAGGTCAACACCTTGGATTGGACCAGGGAAGTTACCAATACCAAAGATGAAGGTTTTCACCTTCCACTAATTATATACGGTACATAATCAGCTGGTCGCGTTGCACGACGGGTACACATACATTGTACTGAACAGGTGGGGTAAAGGTCATGAACACCAGGTAACCAAGGGTAACGGTCACCATTCAAATTAACGGTCACGGATTAACAAAATGATTATCCAACCATTTTGGACAACGTCGATTCTATCCTAATACAGCTAACATACGTTTCCTTCGTAATTTTTAATTTCTGTTGTTGTTACATGTATTATATTTGAGGTCAGTACGTCTATTGTTTCTTAATATGTATGTCATACCAATTCTGTCTGCTTTTGCTTTTACTGTACCAAGCACTCAAAAGAAAATGTCTCAAGTGAGTGACTAATACGTAAATAATTGTACGACTGTACAGACGCCATTTTATTTCAGCGAGGTCTACAGTTTTACACACCCCTAAATAAAGCTTATGGATATCCTTTACGCGCGCAACATATTTACATACAGCTGATCAATTTCACACATTTCAAGTTAATTTGAATGTAGTTTTTTTGTTAGAATTTCCTTACAAAGTTATAATGCATATGTGTATACTTGAACAGCATACTAGTACCATTTAGTAATTCTGTAGAGCAATACTATGACTATAGTATGACGGGTATCTTACACTTGTGTTCTTTTCCATATTATAGTGGTCCCTTATATTCTGGTGGCTCTGTAATTCTATATTAATAGAATCATCAATTCATTTTTGTAAAAGAAGATTGCGATTTCATTAGCTTAAGTACTTTGTTTTCTGTGGTATGCTAAGAAATGAATTTCAACTATTCTAATCTTCAAACAAAAAAGAAAACTACTGAGTACAGATCAATGTGTCCAATTTCACACTTATTTTCCACTGATTTCAGAAATTATTATGTACAATATAGTTTTTTCGACAATGTGATTTTTCTTCTCAATTTTTACTTGAGTATCATTCTTTATAAATCATAAAACCCGGGCTAAGTAAGTTCTAAGAAATTGTCGTCTTTACGCATAGAATGCCCAGAGGAAAACTCCCACACACATCATGATGACGGCATTGATGTTGAGGATGAGACGAGAACGAGGGTTCTCCTTGATGGAGATGTGTATATCCGGTTCCGGTGGGGCCTCCTGGTCCTTCTGGCTGATGCCGCACATCCAATCAAAACCACGCTTCCACAGGGGCGGCGACTCCACTGTTCAAAAGGGGATAAATTGAACCGCGTCATTTACATATGAGTTTGTGCTTTTCTATTCCCTTGGGATACAATGATTTCCTTTTATTCTTCATAATTGCCATGTGGCATCTTAATAACGTCACGTATATCTAGATCACGTGACAGAAAATACTGGGGCAGTAGCCCTGAAGAAGGCCTAAAATTTGGTCGAAGATCCGATAAGTGAAAAATCCTTGTGTTGGAAAACCAGTTTCATCTTGAACACGACATTTTCTCATCCATAACGTTGTATATTTATGTTTACAGGGCTGTTGCAAACATACACAAAATATAATCATAAAAGCTGTGTCCACTAACCGATGCTGACGGTGACGTCGTTTTCCTCCTTGTCGGCCGTCTCCTTTCCGCCGCCGTTCAGAGCCGACATCTCGACAGTCTCCGGCGGCTTGTCCAGATCGTCCCTCTCCTCCTCACTGTGGCGGGTCGCCCAGGTCAGACGGTGGAGCTAATCATGGAAAATAGCCTAGTTACTATCAAATCTACTTTAGCTACTGAGTCTCTTTTTTGCCTCTCCACAGACCCAATTTTAGGAGAGGACAAAAGACACTTGGCAGAAAGATAGGTTTGGTAAGCAGGATAAACTACCTGGTTACCAAACCTAATATTTTGCGGAGACGATGTAGGACTCGGGAGCTAAAATAGATTTGGTAACCAGGCTAGGATAAACGGGAAAAACACACACAGAAGGTTTAATAGAACTTGGATACAACTGACGGTCTCTCTTGTAGTTTCTGCACAACCAGTCAATATCTTCACCAATGTTCTTTCATACGTACTTAATCTATTCATCAGAATAATTACCTTCGCCAAGAATTGGAGAAGGTTATGTTTTCGTGGCCGTGTGTGTGTGTGTGTCTGTCTGTCTGTCAACAGCATAACTCGAGAAAGCTTAGATGGATTATCTTGATATTTGATAGGTGGGTAGGTCTTGATGAGAGCTCGAACTGATTAAATTTTGTGCCCCCTGGCGGCTTGTTATGGTACTGCAGCTGAACTTCCGGTTTTGATATCTCATGATCCAGACATGCTGGGGTGACGAAATTTGCATGGTAGGTAGCTCTCGTGCTGGGGAAGAAGTGACGTGCGTTTGGGCCCCCTAGCTGCTTGCTCTGGAACTGCAGGGGCGTTAGTTGAAAAATGTTTAAAGGCTGATAACTCAAGAACCGGTGGATGGATCGTCGTGATTTTTGGCATGTAGGTAGCTGAAGTGATGCTTGACATAATGATATTACAATTATGCAAATATTAATGTAATTTGCATAATTAATGAGGAAAGTCTATTAATCAGCTGCATTCCATGATAGGACTATTCAAGCATGTGTCATACGTAATTGAGAACGGCAGAAATACAGGCAGATATCAATTATGCAAATGAGGACTTAATTTGCATAATTAATGAGAAAATGTTATAATTACATGGTGGTAACTGCCTGGAATTTCATACTTGGGATATTTGAAAGTTATGTAAAGGTGAACATAATTAAACATAACTTATTCAAATAAGGACATCATTTGCATAATTTATGAGGAAATACTATAATGGCATTCTTTGATAAGATAAGACTGTCTTCTGGTGTAGAATATGATCTACAGATATAATTGATGCAATATAGGATCCTATTTGCACAATCAGGGGAATTAATCTATAATTTCTTAGCCATAAAGGCTAACCTCATTTGGCGAAGGTATGAGATCGTGGAACTCTAGTTATTAATACCTCGGGCTACATTTTTTGCTGAAAATGTCTTTGGACAAGTAAAACGGTAGCCGACGTAACTTTTTCACAGCTGAAGTACAAAAAGAACTCACATGTTTGTCGTCGATGGGTGGTGTACAGAGACTGACCACGACCATGACGATGGCGCTGACGGCGAACAGGATCATGGCGAAATACAGGAAGTGGACCCTCCACAGCACGGCCGGCCGGAATTCAGGCTCGCCGCACCCTGGCGACCCGTAGGCGAAGTCCATCACCAACCGGATCAAACCGACCACCAGGCCTGACATCAGGCCCCAGAACGCACCCTGGGCGTAAAGAATAGAAAATAAAAATTTTGTAAAACATGTCGAGCTTGAAGAAGCTTTATGCTATCTACAGACGCTGTGTGGTGCTGTTGTGGACGTCACTATCCGAACTGACGAAATGTAACCCCTCGCACCGTGTCCGAGCGGTGTTCGAACCTCGTCCCTCTGAATCCATGGAAGGTGATTATAATGTCCAAAAGAACTAAATCCATGGCGTTGTCTATTTTGTATTTTTGTGTTTCAGGCATACGAACATCTTAACTGTACATCTTACAAAACGGTTCCTAACAAATCGGTGGTAACGACCTACCGGCTCCGTCATCCTCTTCCAGAAGATGCCCAGGATGAAGCTTGCGCAGATGGGCGGGGACAGGTAGCCGGTGACCGCCTGAATGTAGTTGAAGAGTTGCCCTCCCTGTGCGGCCTGGACGATCGGGATCCACAGGATGCTTATCCCAATCAGCACGAGCACAAACACCCTGAGAAGAAGAAAGAGAAATATTTTCAAAAGGCCCTCAACGGTGGTTTTAGGAAAACCCATGTCGCTACACAACTTTGACTATGGGCTTCCTTGTGGCTTTCATTGGCACTGCAGCGGGACTTTAGGTGCCGGTGTCATCTTCATGATTTTAAAGTGGCAGGTAGTATTTGTGTCGAGGAAGTGTCGGTTTAACGTTTAGACAGCTTGCGTATTCTTAAGCTTGGAATTTCATGTGTGTTTTTATCAGAAACTTTGAAACAGGATAACTGAAGAAGGTATCCGGCTAAATGGATTTTCGAAGCTGCAAAATGACTGGTTAAAAAAAAACTATAGAAAAGTATAAAGAGATCAGACCTGCCGACGATCATGAGTTCTCTCTCCGTCGATTGTGTGCGGAACTTCCTCCAGATGTCCATGGTGAAGATGGTTGAGGAGGAGTTGAAGATGGAGGTGAGAGAACTCATCAGGGCCGCCAACATCACCGCTAACATCAGGCCGCGCAGACCTGAAAGTGGAAATCAACAATCGTAGGTACAGTAAATGGTAAGTAGTCCTACTGGTAAATTAAGATGTGAAGACGTTAACAGACGCACATATTGGCAATATGGAAACGTAAAGCTCCTCCAATCGCTCGTCATGAACAATGGGGGGGGGGGGGTACAAGCTTAGTCACGTTTGGGACCTTATTCTTCTTGCTGCAGCGCCGCCTAGCTATGAGAGTGAGTAGTAGATGCAGTCACTATTGCTAGTACCCACGGTGCAGGTGGCAAAAGTCTACCGAAACGTTGGCAACTATTTTGCTCCTGCTACAAAGAACTTAATTTTCTGCTAAGACTTTGTTGAAATGAGATTTCAACGATTCAATTACATCTTCAGAAAACAGACCTATCCAGTAAAAGCTGAATGTTCTACCTGTAGGCATAATCCGCACCACCAGTTTCGGGTAGGCCACGTTGGAGCAGCCGGCAGCGTTCTGACAGTATCTCAGGCACTCATCCGGGTCCACACAACCAACTTCATCTGGATGGTGGAAAACAAACTATCCATTACGATTACACACAAAAACGCCTACAAGGCCTACAATAGTGGCAAAAAACATGCAAAAGGCAGTATGAAAGAGTGATTGACAATGATAGAAAAACATTATAGGGTACTCCAAGAACAACCATATTATAGTGGAAAGATGACGTACTTGGATAGAGGGCTCTGCTGATCATGCCCGGCATTATCATGAGGAAGAACGGAAGAATCTTCAGGTAACCAGCCAGGATACACCCTCCCTTGGAATGTTCGATTGTCTTGGCGGCAAGGCACCGCTGGACGATCACCTGAACACATCAACAGAATAGTTTGGCAGTCCAACATAGTGGGCTGCGACGTAGGTAACTGGTGAGTCATTCAAATCCCTTTTTAAGACGTAGCAAGTGCAGTAAGTAGTGCCGAACATTTTCATTATGCCCTTTCCTAGCTTCCCATTGGTTGCACGTGTCGTGGAGTGGCCAATCAGCACCTCGGGTTTTAGCTTGCCCTTTCCATGTTGACCAATCGTGCCCCGTGCTAATAAAGATGATGATTAAACAAAGAAAACCGAAAGCCCACCTGATCTGTACACCAGTACCAGGTAGCCAGAATGGTGAGCCCGAAGATGATGCCAGGCCAGGGCAGGTCGGCGTTGATCGGGTCCCTGAACATGTGGAGGGCGTCGGCAGTGGGCAGACCGCAGGTGGTGGTGTTATCTCTGACGGTGGGGACGGCTAGGAAATACCGCCTGATCATCTCGTTGTATCCTCCCACCCTCGCTAAACCTGTTTTTTTTAATGAAAAGAAATATTAGTGATTTTCTTGTAGGGTTTTCGTATTTTTAATTGATTCGGTTGATGTAGTATGAATAATTTGTTTTATTTTAGTATAACAAAGTGATTTTTAGAAAAAGGACAAATTATAGCTTTACGACCATCCCTCAATAGTGACGGGGGACGCCATAAACACTTTCGTCACTGCTCACCGAGTCACGAACGATACTAACATCTTCATAACGTGACGCGTGACGTCTTGGAAGCAGTGAATTGCTCCTTCACTGACAAAGACAGGTGCTGTTCAGTCAAAAGTTTGCAAAGGTTTTTTTTTTCTTTTTACATTTAAACTCCTGCTTCGTAACGTGATTTTCAAGAGTACTTACTGAGCCCCGTCAGGACAAAGGCGCCGGCCACCATGATGACAGTCTGCGCAGTGTCGGTCCAGATCACAGCGGACAAACCGCCTGAAATCGTTATCAATATCAGTTGTACATCGCCTTGCATTGAAATTTGATCACATTAGTTCTAACATTATAATACATGTATATGACACATACAAGGAACGGACAACTACAACAGTAATACTTGTCACGTAGTATATACTAGTAACCTTCAGAAAAAAAATCATAATATGTTCACAACAATGTAGTTCAAATTTCGCATGTTGTCCTCAGTGCGCCATAAGAAGCCTACCTGTGACGGTGTAGACAGCTGTGATGGCCAGTAGCAGCACCACTGCCAGGTACAGGTCCCACTTCAGGGACTGTTGGATGAACACAGCACCGGCAAAGATGTCCGCCTACAGAACAAACACAATGTACAAACATAGTTATTACATAGCCTGTCCACACACGTAAGTCCTACAAAAGTTAGTCCTATAGCTAACAGATATAGATATAAACCGAATTGCGCCCCCTTCCGATGTACATGTACCTTACAAATCAAACATGGCGGCTGCTCTTTTGGCAAATAGCCATGTACAACGCCAAAATATATATCATGGTAGTCGCTATGGACGATCGGACGACTTAACCGATATCTTGGTGAAGACGTAGAGCAGGAGAGAGACCACGGACAGGTACACGGTGATCCTCTGTCCGCCAAACCGCTTCCTCAGGTACTCTGGCATCGTGAACACCTGTGTGGGAGGAGGGGCAGTCTTTGAGCAATGTATCCAACTTCGCAGTGGATAGACACTATGCAACAAGGGGTGGGGGTAGCTGAGTTATCCAAGCGTTTTAAACAGTGTTTATTGTAGACAAATGAACTTGTAAGACTCTGATGTTCAAAGACACGTATTATGGACGCATATTATCATTGTCATCTTTTTATACAAAGCAATGGAACTTAAGTTATTTCTCACCCCAGCAGAGATGTAGACTGGAACGAAGATCCACCCTAACATCACCATGATGAAGATAGCCTGCAAAACGGTAAGAAAAACATGAACTCTCCTCTAGAAAACGTCAATAGAGAAACTTTGTAGATCTGACGTCTATCCACTTTACAGTGTACTTACGTTCCACTCATAAGCGACCACGGCTATCCCTGACGCCGCCGCCGTCCCAGCCAGCCCCACGAAGTGACCGCTGCCGATGTTACTGGCGAACAGAGAAGCACCGACCTGTAAGGGGATAAGATTTCAAGAAACGATATAAGTCCGTAGATTCAGAGACGTCACTTGCGAACAGAATTCTAAATTAAAGGCGTTGTTGCAAGAAGGAGATGTAAACTAAATTTATGATTAGAGACGGAGGACGTCACAGACTATTTGCTACATTTGATTCACTGCGCACTGAATTACGTGTTCGCAATTGGCGTAAATAGGCGTAAGCGGATTTTTTCTTGACGACTATTGCTGTAGTGTCGTGTTGGCAAAAACGGCGTATATATCTTTCCTTTTAGAAAGTCCTTATTTTTTTGGCATTTCTTAAAAATGTCGAGGGTATATTTGAGAACGTCTGGCTTGATTTTGAGGCCATATCCGTGTCTTCTGGATCGATAAACAATCAGTTTCATTTATCTTACCGGCCACCATGCCATGTCTCTTCCAGCCAGAAAGTAGCCCTTGGCACTGCCACGGTTGGCCCTCCATGCGGACTGAAGGGAAGAAGAACAGATCCGTTACTCGTTTGTCTTGAAAAGCTGTGATTGAGCCAACAGGCTGTGTACTTCATCAAGAGGAGGACTGATCTGTTTCGACAGCCCCTCAGAAACAGCTTACTCTAACAGGCTACCTAGTAGGTACATCTGCAACATGTCTTAGAATTCACCTTGACCTCTACATACCGGGGCGCTGGAAGGTCCTGATTTTAACAGACCTGTCCTTGTGAGTACTAGTATCTTGTACTTGTGACGCGGTTTGAAACGTCGTTCTTGCAGTGTGTAATATAACTGTGTTCATTTGAAGATTGCAGTCGTGCAATATTATTGCTTAATATATGATAACACGTAGTCCACTAAACAGAGACGCTCCATTTCTTGAATGCTGTTTTGAAGCTACCCCATAAATTACTTGCCTTGTTCACTCTGTGGGCTGTACATTATACCTACAACATACATGTAAAATTGTAAATACACCTACACCGGTAACTGAACCCCTCCCATAAAAATTCCTGGGCCGCAGTGGGTAACACATTCCGTGTACAGCGGGTATGTCATGTGCCTTAATTACGCGGTAGACTTGTACCACTACCGTACCAGAGTATTGTCTAAACTAATAGTTTTGTACGGCTTTGGTAAGGTTAATCAGATGAACGCGAAAACATTTAAAGAAGAGACAAGGAAGTGCAGTCATACGTTAGTCACCCTTCTTCTGTACTACGTGTGGCACCACACATCTATAGACAATAAATCCTTTTTACAATATTCCTGGGAGTCTTATGATACAATAAATCTCCGGCCGTTCATGCCCGTATGTACTTTTGTTCATCGGGTTCGCAAACACTGGATTGACGCAGCGTGAGCTGCAAAACAATGGACAAACACACTTGTTCACACTCAGAACCCTGCTTGGTACAGAGCTTAATGACGCCCTGTCTAGCAAGTGTAGTAAGACATCACGTCTGTACAAAATCTATCAAGTCCCCGCCATCTAAGATTAACTACGGCTACTGTTGGGTTATACATGATAGACAAATTAGGGTCTCTAGGATGGGGCTCATTTTCACACAGTTGTAAGGAAAGGTCAAAAGGTTCTCCCAACAAGAAACGTTATACACATGTCCATCTCTAAATTAGGAAGGAGCTGGAAGTTGTGATCTACAACAAGATGTAAGGTCCAGATCAGTGGTAACGTTTCATATACGTTTGTTTTTGATGCCATATCCGTGGCTTCATTCGAGCTGTATATAGTATATGGACATATGACGTAAGTTGCCCATATACATGGGGCGTTGGACTTTTGAAGTATACGTTATCCATCTATGGGAAACGTTTCAGGTGGTGTCCTAAAACGTAAAATATACTAACGTGATCGATATCGAAATTTCAGCTCGATATATTTTCTTCACTTTTGACTCCCTGTACCTACCGGCTACCGAATGTCTGCTAGTTCCGGTTCTATTTGACGTACCACATAAAGACCCTTACACCGAACGTGTACCAAACGGGCGTACCCCGTTTGTTTCGCTTGACCGGAAACACAAACAAGTAACAAAACAGTGTTAATAGCATTGTCAAACGGCTGGAAGGGAGGGGAGAGTTACCGTAAATAGTCTCGAGAGATAAATTATAGGGTACAGCTTGCATAACGCTATACAGTAGCATCAGTGTGACATATACAAATTGACTCAGTAGTGAGGAGAGAATTTTCAGGGGGAGGGGAGGGGGAAAGAGGCGGTGCAAACCAAACGCGACGACAGGTTTCCTATCATGATATATGCCCTCACCTTTCCAGTGACACACTGGTACCCCTTTGAACCCAATGCCTTCTATTTTCATATCATGTCTTCGTAGATTAATGACTCATAACGAGAAATTATTTTCCTTAACGGAGTATTTTGCAGTTAGAACTGACAGGACGACCTCTGGGGTTGAAACTTGAAAGGGTTAGCCGTGAGGGGTGAGTGAGGGGACATACCTTGCCCTCAAGGGATGTTATGTTAAACACTTATAGACGTATTCCCCATACTTAGAAGGCTTCTCACGTGTGAGAATCACCCTGAGGACAATAAAAACATATCCCAGGAGAGTTAGTGAATTCCATACATGCATCTTTTGTGTAGTTAAGAGTCGTCTCTTAGCGGCTTAATGGTTTAAAATGGCCTAAAATGACTAATGTTTTAAAGTGGTAATACGTTATATCTTGGAGAGTCAGTCCAACAGTTTGCTGTTTTCTCCGTGAATAGTTTGCTACCTTCTATTTCTATGGGTTTTTTTTTAATTCGTGTTTTACGAGAGTACGTGGACGTGTAGCCTGGGTGCCAGGCCCATAGCACACTGGACACAAAGTATCTCAGTGAGCACCGTGCTCACTGAGATACTTTGTAAATGTAATGGAACATGTTCTGATGGACCTTTTCCTCGAAGATTACAACATAAAATTGTCATGGGACAACTTTTCGTGCACTCGGGCTCTCTCAAGTGGGGTGGGGGCACAAGGGTGAAGGGTCCACGACATCGAGCGCGATGACCTTGTGCCTAAATCAACAGGTATCAGATATCAGTAAATAGACTCAGCACAGTGGGCTACATTTACAGTAGACTGAGAGGTCCCACACACCAAGAATTAGGCTTTATGCGTTCTTAGCAGAAATACGTGAACCACAAGTACAAGAACATTACAGAACTTCAAGTGCCATTAGATTAATGATGACAATATAAAACACGATATTCAACCAGTCATCATCATGATTTTCCTTCACAAAAATTCACTGTACGTGTAATCACAAAGTCGTGGCCTTGGTTATCTAATTTTGCCTGTTACGCTCTTGGTTCATCAACATCAGGAAGAAGTCCAGTCACGTACAAACTACTCAGCATTGTTGAGGTCATGACCTTTTGGTAGACATCCAGAACATGCGGTTAGAATTAGACATGTCGTCCCGCAGTTGTTGTCATGTACATGTAGGCACGTACGCGTGGGGTATAGTACCCAGACACAACGTACAAGAGCAAGGTGTAATTGTTTTACTGTATGGTCCAAGGATCTCTAAGGACTATATTGGCCCTTCGTAAGATCACACAATAGTATTCAAACACTTGTATGAGTCCTTTAAATCTACAAGTGTGCACGCCCAAACTCAGGTCTTTATTGACCTTGATTGGCAACATGGTCTCTACCGAGATTAAGACAGGAAGTGTGGCGGTAGACGTGCACAAAACTTGGAACGGTCCCAGCCTGTTTGGAAGATTCATTCCTGCAAAAAAGTTCAGTGTATTCCAGTTTACTCCGTTTTTAGAGTATTCTTGTTTTCTCCAGTTCACCGTGAGTTGGGGGTAGTTAGTGTGCAGTCTATATGCAGTCTGCTTGGATTCCCGCCATTTTCTATGTCGTCTGTCAGTTGATTCACAGCAGTCGTCTGACATGTACACAACTGGAGTGCCACGGTCTCTAATTTCACCACACACACGCACACGCACACACAAGCACACACACACGCACACACACACACAGAGACAGGCACATACACATACACACACACACGCACATACACATACGCACACACACACGCACACACACTATCAGTGACTTTATGCGCCACAGTCAGTAGAAAACCGGTTTCTCATTTAGTTTTATGTAAGGGGGACTGTACGTTTGCAAACCGTCGAGGGACTGGGTACATGGTCCTGAGAACGAGAACACGCCAGTCGTTTCTCTATTTAGATGGCCTAGGGCTAGGGGGCAGTCGTCGGTGATGGTTCACTGAGCGGTCACACGAGCATGTACAACCTCGGCAGTTGTGAAAGACAATCCTCAACTCCCATCTTACAAACAACTTCATTCAAGCACTTGGCAGGGGTTCTTATACTAAATTCAACCGGGCCCTTTTCTGTAGCTTTTCGGGGATGGGTCATGCGTTTGTATTGAACCCAGTATCTCAATCATAGCAAACTTACCCAAATGCCTACAGCCAAAATGATGGCGAAATACACCACGATGACGACGATGTCTGCCCAGTGAATCTCCGCGTCGTCGCTGCTCGGTGCTGGCGTGGTCGCCCACGGCGTGGTCATCGGGCCTGAGGTACTCGCCATCCCCGCTCACTGACCCGACAAGACCCGCTGAAAATCTAAATCAACACTAGAGACTACTGAGTACAAACAGGAGGGAAAGTTTAGCTACCGGGTACTGACACAGATATGGGGAGAGGATACGTTCTGGTTGTCTACCCAAGTGGCTTGACAAGGGCGGTAGCGCCAGGACCACAATATCATTAGTCAGGGGCAAACCATTAATAGTCTCACTGTGGCCCAGAAGGAATTTGTTGTAGCGCCAAACTTTATTTTTCTGCGTTTTCATCTCATATACAGATCGTAGTGGCGAGAAAGAAAGTTTAAAGGATTGCGTTTTTAGATATGATTGGCATATTTTTACTTTTTGCTACGACTAACGTACAGTAATGGTTTTCCCCTTGTTTAGATAACGTCAAATTAGGGAGGTTGGTGGCGGTTGGTAGGCGTGTCGGGGGCCGGGACAGGCTGGGACCAGGCACAGCCGAGGGGCATGTCGGGAGGCCCGCCGTCACGCGTCATTTCCTGACGAATTACAGATGCTGAGGGGAGGGGGGCGATTGTCACGGTCATTCTGAACTTGGTCTTTCCTTCCTGCTTTGTCTTTTTTTACGCCATTGATTATGCACGGTCATGGAGGAAACGTTGTATTTCCAAACAAAAACATTTCAGAATCAGAAATATCATCAGAATCCCCAGTTTTATGGAATACATCTCTGTCTTGATTTTTAAGCTGGCCGATAACCTCTCTTGCTTTTAATACCTGGTGGTACCCCTTCTTCGAATGGACAAGGTCTAACAAAACATGGGGTGGCTGCAGCGCACGATGTTGCAAAATGCCACATCCATCACTTCTGAATGACAGAAACTCAACCAGCCAGAGATGCCATAAATGACCTAACACAACTGGTTTATCCAGATATCGTCTGCTAATGCTTAGGTCACAATTCAAGAAAGGGCCCGCTCGGCGCGTGTTCGGCGTGTTTTTTGGCACTACCGAACGGGACCTGGACGGAGACCGGCGGGCTTCCCGACGGCTGCCGGCCTATTTTTGGCCCCGCGCGGTCGCCGAATCGATTTTAACTCAGAGTTAAAAACACTTCGGGCCCCGTTCGGCGAAATACGCCGAAGCGACGCCGTAACCTCACTGCCCGGGACCCGTCGGGCGGCCGAACAGGCACCTGCCTAAGACTATGACGTCACATGTGCTGATCAGTGCATCAGATGTTCAGGAAAAGGGGGTTATAGGGAGCATATATAAACTCCTGCCTCAGACTACGTCGCACAGTTCACCACGTGTATGTTACATCGTGTACTTGTGTGTGTTACACCTTGTATTTGTGTGTCAGAATGTCGAAGAGCAAGGGGAAACAGCCGGCACGGCTCTCTTGCCAACTTCATAAAACAGATCATAACAGGAATAGAATGTGTCTGACATTATCTCTTGTTACATCATATGCCTTCGTAATAAAATGGAATCAGAAGTTATTGGCATTTATTTTCAGTCCAAATTTCAACAGAAGTAACGATATTCAGTGGTTTTATTGCTCAATAGCAAGGAGCTGCCACGGCACACTTCCTGCGTCACTGTTGAAGTACTTTCGAAAGTAGGCCCTCGGTTACTTTTGCGACGCACCAGTTCTGCCTGCCTCTCTTCTTCAGCTACCAATGCCAGAAGACCTACATGTAGGTTGTCACCAATCTCAATCTCAGACGGGCTTGTAAGTTGTTTGCAGGTTGCACTGGACGCTGCATCGCCAACTTCAGTCTATTCTTTACTTGACGTGTACTCTTTACTTGAAGTGAACGGTAGCAGGCAGTGCAGCGCTTATATATGTACCTGCTCAAAAACACGAGAGGAGCCCGTCAGGATCCCGCCAGGAACCCGCCAGGGACCTGACAGCTGCCCGGCCGAGCTGTAAGAGCCGGTCGGCACCCTACCACACGCCGCACGGGTCAAGACGGGCGACTGACCGGGCACCGAACGGGTCCCTGACAGAAACCGGCCGCAAAAGTTTATGAATATTAATGAGAGCCGCCGGCCGGAGCACAAGCAGGCCCCGACAGGGAGCCGTAAAGGAACATTTAATTGTGACCCTGACAGTACGGCGCACGCTCGGCGTATGACGCCGGCCGGCGTCTACGCCGAGGACATGCCGAACGGGCGCCGTTTCAAATGTGACCTAAGCATAAGTAAACTTACTGGAGGTTACATTGAAGTGAAAACCCAATTTGTATATAAGTATAAATATAGTTCCATCAAAGAGACAACGAAGTTATACTTTGAGTCAGTTTTTATTCCATAAAAAAACGTTAAAACGTTTTACAGAAGTACTCTTTCTTAGAAACTAAAATGTCTAACAATCCCACCGTATACGACGACACTACTCACTACTCAACAAGGCTTAAAACCCTTTCACCCATTTTGTCACCATATCCTACAACGCTAGTCACTACTGTCACTACTGTCATGATCCAGCCATGAGGAGGGACAACTCATCACATAGTCTGAGATTCGAACTCTGGACTATCAGTATCATTGAACCACACACGCTATGCAAACTTGAGCTCTCCTACAAATAAGACTTCTGTATGCTGTGTCTAACTATGTTTTGTTGTCCCTTGTGATTTGACTATTTGCCCAAGTGTGATTTATTGACGCTATAAAGGGTCAATAAAGGTATTAGGTACCGAGGCTCTTACGTAGTGAGGCTCTTACGTAGTGTTTGAGCGTGGGGAAAACATCTGAGGACCTCCGGATTTTTCATCCAAGAATCGTGCGATCTAGATATCACGTCTAACAGACTGATTATGTTTGAACAAGTGACACAATCTGAATAGACATCGATATCAATATTTGCATACGAAGGAAACTTCCGAGTACTTCATTCATACATCTTACTATTAGCTGGTCTGGAGTATGAGAATGTACACTGACTTCATGGATTTGGGTATGGGTTTCACAGAATCATTTTCACCCCTTACAGAGGGTAAGATTTCACTACCACTACAGACAAGTACGTATACAACTAAAACTTATCTACCAACCTCCCACTTTATAATCTGGAGTATTTGGGGAAAAATATAAAATGTATATGCAACCAGTCAGTGTTTGAATATCAAAACTTGAGCAAATCCATGAGAATATGCCCCACTATTACAAGTCGGTTCCCCCGAGATGATTCTCTTCCGTTGGCTTAACGGTCTTGACGACGATCTTAGCCGAGAGGCCGTCCTCGTCTCTCGGTCCGGTTTGTCCTGTACCGTTAGCTGATGCACGATGCCGGGCGATGTCGGTGATAGCTCCAAGCGAAGTGACGTCGGAGAAGATCGGCTCTGATGCTGACTTCTCCCGCTCATGGACCAGGAGGTACCGGCGAACCACATGGGACAGGGCCTTCTGGAAAGAAGAATGAGCGCATTGTATACGTTTTTGTGACATTGGGTATCTTAAAACTTTGTACACAGCCGATAGCAATTACCCTGACATTTTGTTAACGTAAATCATTCGACGCAAGTCATTGCTATCCTTTCCAGGGCAATGCCACTGATAACTGGCTCTACTTTTTCTACAGTTAGAAAATACCACCCCAAACAGCTTTATAATATATCTCCTCTCATAGCCAACCTGTTTCTCTGAAATTAAACAGCTAAGCATAGTATTGCAACATTCTCTTATCACAGAAGACTACATTATTAGCTGTAGATGTATGTAAGACGTACCTTGTAACGCCGATCGTTCTCTGCCTTCGCTCGTTCCTGAAAAAAAATAGGAGTAAAAAATTAGTACATGTACTATGTCAAGACACGTCATCCCCCCAAAGCGCGTTTTCTTTTAAAACCTAGGCCATAAGCTCTGTTGGGTCTGGGCATAATGATATAAGACATTGGATAAATCTTGTTAAGCTGAATACCTTCTTATCCACTTCGGACTTAAATCGCTGACGCAAGCAGCACCTCTTGATGACGTTGTAGATGAACTTGGGAGTCGGGATGAGGTTGAAGGGGACGGGGAGAGTCGTGTCGTCACGGATGTACCGCAGCATCAACTTCGTCACTTCGAAACGCCACTCGGTCGTCTCGTTGTCCTGAAAACACAAAAGTTGATTTTCTTCGTCGTTTTGGGGCTTGCGTGTGTCTGTCAATGTATATAAAAAACTGTAGTTCTGGAAAGAAGTGATATAGGTTTGGGCCCTCTAGCAGCTCTTAATATGCCTTGTTGTTTGAGACTTTGGAAGAAGATAACAAAAGAAAGACTTAGGTCGGGATGCAATTAGATGCTGATTATGCAATTAATAATAAGCCATAACTTGCATAATCAATAAAGTCTATTAATACAATGGTTTGAAGAGATAATGTCGGTCTATAGAGGCAAATAACAAGAGAATATTTCAAAATACCAGTAGTATCCTCCAATAATATCAGAAATGGTCATCGATCAGTAAACTTTCTTTCAAATAATGAATTTTACTTACCACAATGGCCTGGTAGGAGTTACTCATCATGGCGATGAGCATGTTGAGTAGAACGACCACTGCCACGACCATGTACAGCCCGTACAGAGACTTTCCTATGTACATGGTCAGGGTGTGCTCAATAAATTTGCCGTCTGTGTTGCTGCTATCGCTGATGCTCAGGTCAAGTGTATCTTTTGATGCCAGGCCAAACAGCGACCAAAACAGCTCAGAAAACGAGTCACTGAAGCTGGAAATATGACAAAGGAGAGTTAAGTTTGTGATATTTAATCTCCAACGTTTCAACAATCCTCCTGCGACCTCTGTATCCTCGTGGCAATAACGAGTAGTCCCATCAGGGGTATCCGAAAATCACAGTGTATGGGGGGGGGGGGATACAAAGTTAGTCACGTTTGGGACCGTATCCTTCTTACTGCTGCGCCACCTAGCGGTGGATGTAGAACTAGTCATTATTGCCACGTAGAAGGTTTCAGAAAAACTGAATAGTTTGTAACGATTGTCATTGTCTCGGCGTTTGGATTTAGAGGTTCTCATAGTGTATGTACAAGATTATTCACCAAAATAATTCTCAAGATCACATCACATCACGGGTTTCTCCACCATTATTACTATGCTATAGTACATCACTTACTGGCCAAATGCGTTTTTCTGAGTGCAGGTTGTATACACCAGCGGAGAAGTAGCGTTGTCACTCTGTGAACACATGTGCTCGACAGCATCGCCGTAGAAGCCGTACAACTCGTTCAGTCCCGAAGAAAAAGCGATGACCATGACGAAGAAGATGATCAAGAACTTGAGGATGTCCTTGACCATGTTGCGCATGGACAGGGACATGGGGCCGAGGAACCGCTCCATGGTGAACAGTTTGATCAGGCGGAGGAAGGCGACCACGCCGCCGACTGATGTCAGAGCCTCGGCGATGAGAGTCATGTCGTATGTTTCCCATCTGAACCTGGGGATGTCTTGAGGTCCCCCGTGCTGCAGGTAATGCAATGGCAACAGTCATGTTTTCATCTATCTGTTCATCTGTTTTGAAAACTGAAGAGTCAACTTCGTATTATAATAGGCAAATAATGGCAAGAGACAATTTGTCAATAAACAGTGCAAAAATGTTTCAACGTTTTGCTGTTGACTGCCGAGGTCTCTTCTATGACATGTCATCACATTAAAATGCAAGTGCCATTCACACGTATCAACTGTTACAAAGAAAAGAAAAGAAAAGACCCTCTTGTCAGTACATTATACTCACGATAAGAGACGCAGCAACGCGCATGGCGAAGGCTGACAGGTAGATGAGAATGATGATCCAAGCATCTTTCCCCGTCACGTCAGACAGATACCTCCGGACACCCATCTTCCATACCAACCTCATCTCTTCCACAAACATCCCTGCATTAACGAAACGAGCCTTAGTACAGTATGGTAAAGCGAATTACACAAAGATTAGACTAACAGAATTATCAGTCCGCTGGTCTTCCTTTGGACAGAGGAGAACTCGAATCCCCAGAACATGTGATGTAAGGGTCGAATTTGTAGTTTGTAGCGACAACCGTCTCGTCCCATTTGCCCCATGGCTCATGTGCTACACCTTTGATTGGAGTAGTGGTATGGTGAAGGCTTATATATTCACGCTGACCTCCTATAGAACGACCAAAACCTAACCCAATCCTGTAGTCATATCAGTAGTAATTAAAAGTAACATTGAAAAGTTATTATAAAATGTATTGAATGTATTTGTACCTATTACATAGGTTAGCATCATCCACTCCAGCACTGACCCGTTTGGAGCCAGTGTACCTTCTCCAGGACCGTCGTAGTCAATCCTCTCCGACCTGCGAAAATGACAGAATGTAGTCTAACTTCACAGCCTCATTTCATCATTTCCTTAACATTTAACTGTGGCTAAGTACTTAATACACTGACTGTACGTATACAGCAATTGTCAGCAAATAAACCGACTTACCTATGTTGGTACGATGCATATTATTGATCCCCCCCCCCTTATCCAACATAGGAAAAGGTAACTCACTGAGCCGGCGGCCGATATCGACTTTTAGGCATTATTGACCAATCATGACGTCACACTTCAGTAAGATCAGCGTGTACAAAAATAAGGGTGAGTTACACTTATATCCAATATTGAGTCATACTTTCCTTTAATTGGATAAGGTTTGGAACTAAGTCTCAGTACCGTTGGTTAAAGGTTAAAACAAAGAAAATAGTTAAAACTCTTGTTACTCTTCTCTAATTTTCCTTCTTTTTTTGATTTAGTTAAACCTCATTTAATAACGAATAGAGTTTGGAACTTTCGATAGAAAACTTACCTCAGCACCACTATCAGGAGGAAAGTCAGGAAGGTGGCCATGTTCATGGCGAATCTGACAGCAGGAGTTCTGATGAAGCGACTTGCGCGGGACATGGGAGCCACGAAATAGATGAGGACCAGGATCGGAGTCAGTAGCATTAGCGCCAGGCCACGGAGGTACTCAATCAGCATGGTGCTGGGAGGGCTGTAGTCAGGTCCGTACCAGCATTCTTTCACCATGCGCTGGCTCCAACGGTTTGCCACAAACTGCAGAACATCAGACAAATAACTACTGTTGATCGCATCTGAACGCAATCTTCAAGATTACTTCTTCAAGTTGCTGTAAATCTACTTTTTATTCGTTCTTTTCAAAACTACAATGTACTAAATGTGTAATAACGCTACAATAAGTGCTCCTATAGATTTTCATCTAATAATCGCTGTTTTACATGTAATTATACCTTTTAGAATTTATAAATGTATATACTTTGTCGAAAATGTTTTGTCAAAACAAGCCTCGCAATAAATTCAGCCATCGCGGGTATCAGGAGGCTTGTTAGTGCATGCTCCTATGTTCTTGCTTGTGGAATAGTTTACTATTTCAACGTAGTAATAGCACAAAATAGTGATCATCTGAGTCTCCATACGGTTGCAAAATGTTGCAGCTGTCCTGTTTAAATGTCTCCACTTTTAGTTTCAGAGAAAAAGAAGTGTCCTGACCTTTTTCTGGTGATGGCGTACAGCCATGTTCAGTCGTGTGAGCTTCACTTTACAGTTGTCCCCGTGTGTCAATGGTGAAACTTCGTCTCCACAGTTCAAGATAGCCGCCGCCTCGTCTCGATTCTGAACTTGGTTCAGCAGATCGACGCCCAAACTTCGGCATCCCTCGGCTATTTCCGATAGTTCTCCCTCCACTTCGGGTGTCTTCGTCGCGAGATCGTCTAGCGTCGTGCTGAGTACGAAGGCCTGGCGGAGAGGGTCGTCGTTAGTGAGGAGGATGTAGTAGGGACTGGCCAGGCCGCGGTACAGGTTCAGACTGGCTTCGGTTGAGGCGCGGCCGTCGAAGGGCGCTTCTTCGGGATTGGGAATCGATATCTCGCGGTCGACCAGCGCTTTTATGACGGGGAGGCTGTTTTTGTGACTTGCGAGAACAAGCGGTGTCATTTCTGGAGGGTAGCTTCTATAGGCTGAAGAGTTTTGCTGTAGAAGAAGAGGGCACAATGTGTATGTAACGACATCTAGGTAAAGATGACATCCAATTTTGTCTGGATAGAGTCAGTAACACCCATAACACATACCCCCCCCCCTCTCACTAGGTTATGGCATTCGGATATTTCAAAATGCTTGCTGACGGACTTTTCTGTGTACATCTGTGATAAAATCGTCTTCAAACATGCTTTTTTATGAGATAAATCAAGTGCAACTAGGTGTTTATTGAAACTTTTACTCACTTCTTTCATTGGATATTTCAACAGCATTTCAACCGCGGCGCTGTCTTCCTTTTCCACGGCGTGCAAGAGCGCCTCCCCGGGAGTTGCTCCATACTGCAGCAAGGCGTCCGCTACTTCAAGATGGTCTGAGAAAGTGCATTGACATGGTCACTATTGCTCTGTACATATCAGATTTAGATCCATTTCAGCCCCCCTCCCCAAAAAAAGTCGAGTGAAACAGATTCTTTGACGAAGGTACATCAACAAACTATAAGTGACCATGCCTTTAATTGAAACTTATGCAGACTAAAAAATGAACAGTTCAAAAAATGCCAATCATCATCATTCAGTGGTTTCTTCATTGCAGCTGTACAGGCGTCCTGTAGTCTTTCTTCATGCCCTTCCACAATGTAAATCATACCAGAATAAGGCAGGAATAGTATACTACTGTGTAGTACTAATTAAAAAGTCGGAGAGTACCTGAACCGACGGCCAGTTCCACCGCACACCGCCCAAGAGCGTCCTTACAGTCCACATCTATTTTGCCCTCCCCGAGCGACAGCAGCTCAGTGACCGTGGCGAGGTCGCCTGACGCGGCGGCAGAGAGGAGCTTTTTCTCCGCCTCTGTGAGATCCGCCACCCCCGAATCACGGCCGCCACTCTCCCTCTGTATAAAACCGTCGTTATCCATGTTGTTGTGACCTGTGGTGTCTGTGACAGTATAGCTTTTAGCAGCATACATTGGACCAATGGTACACATAATTCTGCAGCACCAAGACCACGACGAATGGTCATGTAAAACACGAGCAAGAGAGTCTAGACGCGGGTGCCATGTTTTCGTCGTTGGTGTTCGGTCCTGTGTAACCAACCAACGCTTGACTACGGCTCAGTGAAGAAGGGCTAAAGTCTTTTTTGCGTCGCCACAAAGACACGACGGCTCTCCCATGCATGCTATGTCTGTCAAGTACTGTGTGAATGGTTTTCAATAGCTTCTTTTCCCACAGCACGCACACACTGAACGTCTGCCATTTTATTTAGTCGACAAGTATTTTAAAGCTTTCTAACTGGCGATGATTGTGTTTTGGGCCTGTTTTGTCACTAAAAATGAGCCTTAGAATATATGCCCTCTGTACTGCCTCCTCAGAAAATCAAACAGCATTAGGCTTTGCCCTTAACTACCATTATCTTGTTTATTTTGTTCTTGATTTTGGTTTACGAAGGAAGTCTGACTAAAACACAACATTTATTTAGACAAGTATTGAACAAACACAGATGTGTTACACGCACAAAAATTCACACACGACCCCCCCCCCCCCCCCCACCACACACACACACAGATATATACTAGTATACACACACACATTCACAGATAGAAAGGAGAGGGAGACTCC